ACATGCTGGTGTAAACGCGGCGTGTCGCTGGTGAGCGGGATGATTGGTGGTATCAAGAGTGTCCCAAAAGAGTGCCCCGCAAGAGCTTCCTACAAGAGTGACCCAGAAGAGTGTCCTACAAGAGTGTCCCGCAAGAATGTCCTACAAGAGTGTCTGACAAGAGTGTCCCACGAGAGTGTCCTACAAGAGTGTCCCACAAGAGTCTCCCACAAGAGTGTCCCAGATGGAGTGTCCTCCAAGAGTGTCCCACAAGAGTGCCCCGCCAGAGTGACCCACAAGAGTGACCCACAAGAGTGTCCTACAAGGGTGTCCCACAAGAGTGTCCTACAAGAGTGTCCCATAAGAGTGACCCACAAGAGTGCCCTACAAGAGTGTCCCACAAGAGTTTCCTACGCGAGTGACCCACAAGAGTGTGCTAAAAGAGTGCCCCGCCAGAGTGTCCCACAAGAGTGTCCCACAAGAGTGTCCCGCAACAGTGTCCCACAAGAGTGTCCTACAAGAGTGTCCCGCAACAGTGTCCCACAAGAGTGTCCTACAAGAGTGTCTCACAAGAGTCTCCCGCCAGAGTGTCCCAGATAGAGTGTCCCACAAGAGTGTCCCGCCAGAGTGTCCTACAAGAGTGTCCCACAAGAGTGTCCTATAAGAGTGTCCCACAAGAGTGTCCCATAAGAGTGACCCACAAGAGTGTCCCACAAGAGTGTCCCACAAGAGTGTCCTACAAGAGCGTCATTTGGACATATGTAGCTTTTCGAACGTGTTTGCATTCGGGTTCGTGGGCTCCATCTTGTTTTTTTTCAAGGCCTGGTTGATTGCTATTATTCGTTCACTGTGAAAGTAGATACCCCAAAGGAAATACTTTTGTATCAAGGCTCAGTATGATTCGTTTGTAGTGTCAATCATGTGATTCAGTCGCCTAAGTATTGGAACACTTTTCTTTGACTCCCTTTTGACCCAGAGCTTGCCAGTATGTGTTCCTTTGCATGGATAGCCTCCTTACAGGAAGCTTTTCTGCAGGGCCCTATCCCACAGCTAGGTGCCCATGTGCCTTGGCATGCCGAAATGGCGTGAAACTTTGGCGTAGCAGGCCTTCAGGCATCTCTGATCAGGAATTGGCCGGCCACTTTGTTTTGTGCTTTTGGGTTTTCTTGAGCCAGAGTTGTGGAGATGCTGAAGAGCTCGCCATTTGCCGCATTGGGGGACACTCCCTGCCAGTGCACGCTCAACGATTTGGACGTACAGTTGAGTGAAGCCCATGACTGCGGCGAAACTCGCAGAACCTCAAAGCTACTGGATCGCTCTAGTTGCTTCGTCTGACCGCTAGCTGTTGCCAGGATGACCTCCGTCCAGCCTCGATGCTGGTTTGAGGGCTCAAAATCTGCTTGTGAATCTCTGAATCTGTCTGATGATCAATGGGGAGCTTTCTTCTCGAAACAAAGCTAGCCAGCCTAATTAAGAGGGACAGAGACACAGGAGGATTTTGGAGAATCCCTCATTCGAGGCTGATACTTTGTGGCGTCAGCTTCAATTTTCACCGCTACTCCTAGGGGTGGCCATGCTCCCAACAAAAGCGACCAGACAGCTTACCAGCACGCATGGAACTTGATGTTTCAGGACATGTTCAGGCGACCAGGCTGCATTGTCTTGGAGCCTCATTGTTTGCATACTCCCAATGCAGCCTTTGTCGTCTTTCATTTGTTGAATTGATAGAGTTTGCCGCTGGGTCGTTCCGTTGCCGCTTGGTGCCTGCAGGACCGACATGTTCCACCTCTTGTCCACTTCAACCGCAGGGGCCATGTTCGACTTTCCGTTGTACAAGTCGAAGTGGCGAAGAGACGTTTTTTTTTTTTTCAAACACATATTGTTCCAGTTTAGAAAACAGAGAGGCTCTTTCCGGTATGTTTTTGTTGGGTATTGTTTTCGTTTTGTGTTTGCCAAAAGGTGTCAATTCAATCAGGTCTGAATGCTCACATCGATTCCGGGCAGATGCAGACGACTTGGAGTCTACGTTTGCAGTGTGAACTTAAAGCCGATTCTTTGTTACTAGTAGCTTCTTGCTCCTAGTAGCAATGCCGCCCTTTGTTCCTAATGTTTAGTTTTTTTCATTTGCTACTGGGTCAGACGAGCCTTGTTTTTCCTGTCAAGTTTTGTTCGATCTTAGCGTCAGAGCGCTGAAGCCCTAGAGGTTAGGGAATCCATAGGATGATTGCAAGAGGCTGTGCGTTTAGAGCTAGGAATATCTTTTTTCCCGTCAGGCCCATGCTCTTCTGTGGTGAGTTGACTGCCTCGCAGCGAACCTGAGAAACAGAAGAGTTGGTCGTCTGAAGGGAGCACTACTGGGAGACACAAAGGAAAAAGAAGGGTCAGGTGGCTCATAGAATCTCATAGACCTTCTTTCTTCCTCTCTTTCAGACTGACCGTCCTTTGCCTTCGGATTCGGAGGCTTACGTACTTGCTGCGAAAGTGCTGAGGCCACGCACCGTGAAGGCCTGTGGCTCTTCCTTCGGATTTGGTGGTGTGAACGCCCATGTGCTGCTAGAGGGGATTGAGGTGGCTACCCGGATCGATGCCCAGGACTCAGATGGCTGGTGCGTACACGCGCTCTGTGACACTTTTTTGGCGTTGCATTGCTGACACGTTGCTGGGATTTCTTTCATTTGTCCTTTGGAGTCCTTTCTCTTGAGGCAGCTCCACAGGCCAGGGCCACAGAAGATGGAATCAATAGCAGGCAATTTTACATATCTGGTGGCCCTAAACCGCACAGAAAATCTAAAAATACGATTGCATCAACACGACATGTATTGCGCTTGTGTCGGCTGCTTGTGTCGACATGTATGTCTACGTGCAAAACGGGCGCCCCTCAAGGCACCGACCGTGGCACCTCCGGTGCGGCCTTCTCCTAGCTCAATCGGCACCTCCAGACCAAAAATACCCGTGGCTGAAGCCAAGCCACTCGGCGAAGTGAAGAGAAGCTGGTTCCAACGTTTGGAAGTCGTTTGGATTCGGAAGCACTCCAATTTTCTTGCAGGCTCTTGCTACGCAAGATGGTGGCATCCCTTACGGAGGAAGAGGACGGCAAAGGGGGTCGTTAGCTCGTGTTTGGCTCTTTGACTCCAGCATCTACACCACATATCATTCGATGACAGTATTGCTCATAGTGTGGACGCATCAGTTACAACTTAAGCACAATGTTTGGAAGGTGCTTTGGCAAGTTTGGGATTTTCTTTGGTCCAGGAAGCACCTCAGATGGATGTCCCGTTGGTGGAGACAGGCCTGGAGCTTCGCAGCACGAAAGGATGCTGTCTGGTGAGCTGGGTCCTGGTTTGTGAGTCCGTCATTTACGGCAATCTATGGTCCAAAAAAGTCTACCATTATACTGTATACTGTATACTAGTAACTATCGCAAGTAGGTTGGAGGCCATCGCTAATTTAATAGGAACAAGAAGCTACTAGTTCTTAAATGTATGTTTGCCTCTTGCTTCTTGCTCGATCGAGGTCTGGACAGCTTGGCAGCTGTCCAACTTCGAAACAACTTGCAGCAGGAGACAGCACTGTCTCTACCCAGTGTGCTTGGGACTTGTCGTACTTAGCATGACGAGCTCTTCCGGTCTTATTCGCCCCCGACAGTTTGGACAGAGGTACTTTGATGTTCGACTACCCGACCATGCAGGTGAGGACATGAAAAATATCTGCAGCTTCACCGGTAGGTGATGCAATATGTCCATTGGTTTCTCCGATAGAGGTGATGCATTGCACAGGCGATGGCCGAGTTCATCTCAGAGTCTGCTGGGTCACAGGCTGACGGCACTGTGTCAGTGGCCAGACTCTTGTTTCGTCCAACAAGACTGTTGGACGCTTTTACGCAACAAAATCTAAACAAGCTGGTGTTGAGAGCTGGTGTTTGTAGCTAATCTGACAGCGTCAAAATCATCAAGCAGTCGACATGAAAGCCGAAGACGCTGAAAGGACAAAACTCAACACAATGTATGATAGTGGCCTAATAGCGATGGCCTCCAACCTAAGAGCGATGGCCTCCAACCTAAGTAGTAGGGATGGCCTCCAACCCAAGAGCGATGGCCTCCAACCTAAGCGATGGCCTCCGACCTAGCAGCGATGGCCTACTAGCGGTGGCCTCCAACCTAATAGCGATGGCCTCCAACCTTTTTGCCGATCGCCTTCACCAAAGTAGGGATGGCCTCGAACCCAGTAGCCGGTGGCCTCCAACCTAAGAGCGATGGCCTCCGACTTCGCAGCGATTGGTAGGGATGGCCTCCAACCTAGTAGCGATGGCCTCCAACCTAGGAGCGATGGCCTCCGACCTCGTAGCGATGGCCTCCCACCCAATTAGTAGCGGTGGCCTCCAACCTAAGAGCGATGGCCTCCAACCTAAGAGCGATGGCCTCCAACCTAAGAGCGATGGCCTCGCTAAGAGCGATGGCCTCCGACCTAGCAGCGATGGCCTATGGCCTCTAACCTGGTAGCGGTGGCGTCCAATCTAGGAGCGATGGCCTCTATCCTAAGAGGGATGGCCTCCTACCTATATATATACCTATATATATATAGTCGCGAAATATTTAATGTTTCGATGTTCCAGATGTGAATTGGGAGGTACAGTTGACCACAGCCATAGCAACTGCTCCAGCTGCTCCAGCTTCCACTGGTTCTGTTTCGAGCGAAAGCCCAGCAAGCCCTGGTGCAGCTTTGACCATGGCAGATGTGACCCGAGCTTCTAAGCTGCAAAGTGGTGACCCATGTGGCACCCAGACAGACGAAAGCAGACGAGTCTGATTTGTCTTGCCGTGATAGGAAACAAGGATTTGTATATGCTATGTTTGCTTTGCTCCTAGTAGCTTCTTGTTCGTAGTAGTAAGGCCAGGAGCCTCTAGTAGCGTCCTTGATCCTAGCAGCGATGCCAGGAGCTCCTAGTAGCTTCTTGCTCCTAGTAGTATAAGGCCAGGAGCAGCGTCCTTGCTCCTAGTCGCTTCTCGCTCCTAGTAGTAAAGCCAGGAGCCCCTAGTAGCGCTCTTGTTCCTAGTAGTAAGGCCAGGAGCCCCTAGTAGCGTTCTTGTT